CCCAAGTTCCTTCACAGTTTATAGCTATTGTGGACTCCTTCAGTCATGTCAGCCACCAAGGGGTTCTCATACTTTTGAACTGCAGCGGATGAGTACTCCGCAGGTGAACAAGCTTAACAGTTTAGTGTGAAGATTGTTGAACTGTATATAGAAAAAGAAGTCTGAACTCAACTGCAGGTTGGCTTACAGTGAGGATGGGGAGGGGATAAACGAACCCTAGTTCATAATGACTATAAATTTTTAACCTGGTGTACTGGAACTTGGGTGAATAATACCATTTAGGGCATTCTGCTTAAAGAGAGATTATAGTCATACTCTTAATAGCAAAGCAATTTTGGATATTCACTATGGACCTATATTTGTCAGATTATGTTTTGGAGTTATCTAGATACCTAATAAATGCCTGTTTTTTCAGCCCATGTTCACAGCCCATTGAGAAATAGACAAAGTGGGTAAGACAGATGAATGAAAAACTGTCGGTTTTATTATTAATAATGTACTGCAACTGGAGAATGTGGTCAGATATTCCAAACTTCCTATGAAGTCTGGATGAATTCCTATGAATTCTTCGTATGAAGAAGACTCTAAAGAAAGAGTCTTCTCTTTGGAGGGGAAAAAAAAATAATGCTCATGGCTGTTTTTAAAATTACATTTATTATATATTTATTAAAAGAAAGATAATATTTAGAAAAAAATCTCATTAGTCAAGTAAAATTTTAGATACTAACTGTATCTTGAAAAACCTTCTGAAAACTAAAAAATATTTGAGATATGTCAGTATAACGTAGAGTAATATTCGATTCTCCCTCCTTGGTGCAGCAAATATTTTCTGAAAATCACAAGTACAGAACCTTTTAGGCAGGAAATACATTTTGTCCAATTCTAATTTTAGAAGTCAAAATTATTAAGGTTTTTGGACCAGGCACAGTGGCTTACGCCTGTAATCCCAACACTTTGGGAGGCTGAGGCGGGCAGATCACATAACGTCAGGAGTTCAAGACCAGCCTGGCCAACATGGTTAAACCCCGTCTCCACTAAAAATACACAAATTAGCTGGGTGTGGTGACATGTGCCTGTAGTCCCAGCTACTCGGGGAGGCTGAGGCAGGAGAATTGCTTGAACCTGGGAGACAGAGGCTGCAGTGAGCTGCAATCACGCCACTGCACTTCAGCCTAGGCAAGAGAGCGAGACTCCATCTCAAAAAGAAAAAAAATGGCTAAGGTTTTTGGGCTTCTGTCGTACTGAATGGGAAAATAATAAGCTGCCTCACTTCTTGACTTTCATATGTTTTGTTTGTTTCTTTACACTGAAATACTTAATACTACTCTGTTGGACTTCTGCCACCAGGCTAGGAGTTTATTTCCTAACAGAAGTAAGCACACTGACTAATAATCCATTCTAACAAAGGTTTACATATACAAGGGGAGGTGCCAAGTAGAGGAGTATGTGGAGTGTGACAGGAACACACAGGAGCAACTGGCTACCCCAGAGAAGCAAGGGGATTTTCACAGATGGTAACATTTGAGATGATACTGAAAGATGAGTAGGTGGCCACCACAAAGAGAAAGAAGGAGCCATTCCAGGCTGAAAGAACAACTTACACAAGTAGGAAATTATATGGTATATATTCCATATACCTTTAGTGTCCTTAAAACAATTTTTTTGAATCCAGAAGATTGGATTTTTTTTATTATGGGTAAAATATACATAACAAAATGTATTATTTTAGCCATTTTAAGTGTACGGTTCAGTAGCATTAAGTACATTCACATTATTGTGCAATCGTTACCACTATCCATATTCAGAAAGTTTTTGTCTTCCCAAACTGAAACTGTACCCATTAAACATCACCTCCCCATTCCTGCCTCTTTCTGGACCCTGGTAACCTCTATTCTACTTTCTGTCTCTATGAATTTGCCTCTTCTAGGCTCCTCAATAAGTGGAATCATACAATATTTCTCATACAATAATTAATATGTAATTATAGGGCCGGGCGCGGTGGGTCACCCCTGTAATCCCAGCACTTTGGGAGGCCGAGGCGGGCAGATCACGAGGTCAGGAGTTCAAGACCAGCCTGGCCAACATAGTGAAAACCCGTCTCTACTAAAAATACAAAAATTAGCCGGGCATGCCGCGTGCCTATAGTCTCAGCTACTCGGGAGGCTGACACAGGAGAATCACTTGAACCCGAGAGGTGGAGGTTGCAGTGAGCCAAGATCACACCACTGCACTCCAGCCTGGCGACAAGCCAGACTCCATCTCAAAAAAAAAAAAATGTAACCAGAAATAATTATGCTAAGTGAAATATGTGGCTTTGTCCGTGGTGTATGTATCATAATTTCGTTTATTTTTATGACTGAATCACATTCCATTGTCTTGTAGATGCCACATTGTTTATCCATCCACCCATCAATGGGCATTTTGTTTGTTCCCACCTTCTGGCTGTTGTGCATAATGCTGCTGAGAGCATTGGTATGCAAGTAACTGAGTTCCTGGTTTCAGTTCTTTGGAGTAGGTAGCTAAAAGTGAAATTGCTGGATCATAAGGTAATTCTATGTTTAACTTTTTGAGGAGCCTCCAGATAATTTTCCACAACAACTGCACCATTTTACATTCTCACCCTCAGTACAGAAGGGTTCCAGTGTCTCCACATCCTTGCCAACACTGTCTTCCAAAATTTTGAAAAAAAATTCACCAGACTGTATACTGGTTCCTTAAGAACCATTGAAAATACATTCATTATCATTACATTAAAAGTGACCTTTTGGGGCCTAGCATAAGAAAAAGTTGGAATGAGCCAGCATCAGAGAATATTGACATTCGTCTTATTGTTTGAATAGTACAGAGTTTATTCAAAGAAAGGCCTTTGCGGTAAGAAAGTACTCATAAAGTCAGATGTGTTATGTATGAAATAAATCAAAATCGGGTGGTATGCCTGCTCTTCGCAACACTGTTTTCTCTTCCTGCAGCTCCCTGCACAAGCAGCACTTTCTTTTGCCATAGCAACATGTGCATCAATAATTCTTTAGTCTGTAATGGTGTCCAAAATTGTGCATACCCTTGGGATGAAAATCACTGTAAAGGTGAGTTTGATGTAAAGGCCAACCTTTTTGAGAAAAGAGTGGCTATTACCCTTCATTAAGAACTTAAAATGTTATTTTCTACAACAGTGCTTAGCATAGCTGCTTTGACAGAAATGGAAACATATAAATGGATCATACACCTGGGATGTGGTGAAAACAAAGAAAAATACTCTAAACGAAAGTATTTTTTGTCTACAAACTGTTAAGTTCTAAAGTGTATTGTGGCCGGGCACAGTGGCTTATGCCTGTAATCCCAGCACTTTGGGAGGCTGAGGCAGGCGGATCACCTGAGGTCAGTAGTTTGAGACCAACCTGGCTAACACGATGAAACCCCGTTTCTACTAAAAATACAAAAAAATTAGCTAGGCGTGGTGGCGCATGCCTGTAATCCCAGCTACTCGGGAGGCTGAAGCAGGAGAATCACTTGAACCCGGCAGGCGGAGGTTGCAGTAAGCTGAGATCGCACCATTGCACTCCAGCTTGGGCAACAAAAGCGAAAACTCCGTCTCAAAAAAAAAAAAAGATATAGTGGTATGCCTTGCCCTATTTTTGTTACTGTTGTTGAGGTTTGTCATTTGTATTGTAAACATACCTTATTTAGTTGTCAAAATAATTTAGAGGTTAGCCTGAAGTATGTGGAAACACTATTTAATAAAAATCAACTTGCAGATTCTGTCTTACAACATAAAAACAGAAACATTCTATGAACTGCTTTTTTTTATTTCATAACATTTCCAATGCTGTATTCCCAGTGTGTACTCACTGAAAGATAAATGCAGCTTGTGGTAATGGTTGAATGTCTGCAAGCTGGTTGTCAGGTCACTGTGTCAGAACTAAAGATGATCTACCTTTTATCCTCTAAGACGGCAGTCCCCAACCTTTTTGGCACCAAGGACTGGTGTCGTGGAAGATAATTTTTTCACGGGACAGGGGTGGGGTAGGGGTGTTGGTTTCAGGATGATTTAAGCGCATTACATTTATTGGGCACTTTATTATTATTACATTGTAATATATAATGAAATAATCATACAACTCACCATAATGTAGAATCAATGAGAGCCCTGAGCTTGTTTTCCTTCAACTAGACAGTCTCATCTGGGGGTGATAGGAGACAGTGACAGATCATCAGGCATTAGATTCTCCTAAGGAATGCACAGCCTATATCCCTCACATGCACGGTTCACAATAGGGCTCCTGCTGCTGTGAGAATCTAATGCCACTGCTGATCTGACAAGAGGCGGCGCTCCGGGTCATGTGAGTGATGGGGAGCAGCAGCAAATACAGATGCAGCTTCACTCGCTCCCTCGCAGCTCACCTCCTGCAGTGAGACCAAGTTCCTGTCTGTGGCCCAGGGGTTGAGGACCCCTGCTGTAAGAGTTCAATAAATACCTTACTGCAATCTGATATGGCTGTTATAAATACTTGACATGAAGTGTTTTCAGTTAATCATTCAAAAACAGTAGGTCATGATAATATACTGGATGGGTTAGTCTGACGATGTTAGTTTGCTCTCCCTGTGGTCATCAGTAGATGTGGGTATACCTGAACACGGCAGTTGGTCAAACCTACCATAAAGCAGAAAGCTAAAATTGATAGAACAAGAGTATTTATTTGGCATCGTCTGTATTTATGTATTTGATTTGATTTGCAGAATGTGTACATCTGTGTGTCTTCTGAAGAAACGGACCAAGAACTTTATCTTTTCTGTAATCTATCCATCTATACTGTGATTGGTAACTTTAGACAGAAATTTTAATGGGGTTGTTTTATTTGTTTAAAAACCTAATTGTAAACTGCATTGTCTGTAGTATATTTGGCCCAAGTATTCTGCTTTACCTAAAAATACCTTACTAATTTGTACCAGGATTCATATTAATGTATTTTGAACACTTAACATTTCTCATTTTCGTTCTACAGAAAAGAAAAAAGCAGGAGTATTTGAACAAATGACTAAGACTCATGGGACAATTATTGGCGTTACTTCGGGGATTGTCTTAGTCCTTCTCATTATTTCTATTTTGGTACAAGTGAAACAGCCTCGAAAAAAGGTCATGGCTTGCAAAACTGCTTTTAATAAAACCGGGTTCCAAGAAGTCTTTGATCCTCCTCATTATGAACTGTTTTCACTAAGGGACAAAGAGATTTCTGCAGACCTGGCAGACTTGTCGGAAGAATTGGACAACTACCAGAAGATGCGGCGCTCCTCCACCGCCTCCCGCTGCATCCATGACCACCACTGTGGGTCGCAGGCCTCCAGCGTCAAACAAAGCAGGACCAACCTCAGTTCCATGGAACTTCCTTTCCGAAATGACTTTGCACAACCACAGCCAATGAAAACATTTAACAGCACCTTCAAGAAAAGTAGTTACACTTTCAAACAGGGACATGAGTGCCCTGAGCAGGCCCTGGAAGACCGAGTAATGGAGGAGATTCCCTGTGAAATTTATGTCAGGGGGCGAGAAGATTCTGCACAAGCATCCATATCCATTGACTTCTAATCTTCTGCTAAAGGTGACGTGAATTCTTAAGTATGTATGTACGCAGCCTCCAAGGCACCATACTGTTTCCAGCAGCCAACCCTTTTCTCCCATCACAACTACGAAGACCTTGATTTACCGTTAACCTATTGTATGGTGATGTTTTTATTCTCTCAGGCAGTCTATATATGTTAAACCAATCAAGGAACTTACTCTATTCAGTGGAAACAATAATCATCTCTATTGCTTGGTATCATTTATAGGAAGCACTGCCAGTTAAAGAGCATTGGAAGAGGTGGTTGGATGGAGCCAGACTCAGGCTGCCTATTCGTTTTAGCAACGGGAAGACTGCTCTTGACTGATACAGCTCTGTCAATATTTTGATGCCACAATAAACTTTAAGATTTTTCTTTACATTTTATTTTTCCTTTCTCTAAATTTAATTTGTTTTATAAGCCTATACTTTTACCATTTCAGTTTCTTACATAAATACAAGTGGTTAATGTACCACATACTTCAATATAGGCATTTGTTCTTGAATGTGTCAAAATACAGCTAGTTACTGTGCCAATTAAGACCCAGTTGTATTTCATCCATCTGTTTCTTCTTGGCTAATCTCTGTACTTCTGCCTTTTAATTACTGGGCCCTCATTCCTCATTTTCTGTGAGAAATAATAGATGATATTTGTCACCTTTCAATTACATTTTTTCTCAGTTATACTGGAAAATTTCATAATCCTGGGATATAGGTACCATTGCCCACTATGACTAACAATTTGAAAAAGATAAAGATTTCTAGCCAGCCTTTGAAGTTTCCCAAGTATAGTCACATTCAGTGACAGCCCATTCATTCCAGTAAACAAAGTCATTTCATTCACTTTGGGAGAGGCCTATAATTACGTTTATTTGCAATGTTTCTCTTCGCTAGATTGTTACATAGCTCCTGTTCTACTGATTTTGCTTACCACATATGGTAACCAAGGTTAGATGCGAGTTAAAATTCCTTAGAAACTGGATGAGCCTTGAGATTGCTTCTTACCTGGGACAGGACATTTTTCTAGCTCTTATCAAGAATAACAACTTCCACTTTTTTTTAAACTGCACTTTTGACTTTTTTTATGGTATATAAACAATAATTTATAAACATAATATAAATGCTCATTGTGTTTTTTTAGACTTTTGATATTATTTGATACTGTACAAACTTTATTAAATCAAGATGAAAGACCTACAGGACAGACTCCTTTCAGTGTTCACATCAGCGGCTTTGTATGCAAATATGCTGTGTTGGACCTGGACGCTGTAACTTATCGTAAAGACCTTGGTAATGTGGACATAAGCTCTTTCTTTCCTTTTGTTACTGTATTTAGTTTGTGATAAATTTTTCACTGTGTGATATTTATTGCTCTAAATCACTACACAAATCCTATATTAAAATATACATTATACCTGACCCTTTAATCATGTTATTTATGCTACTGAGGTTGTGGATCTTAAGGTATGTACGGAAAGGAACTCATTTATCAAATTGTAAGTAATACAGACATGCCATTTAAAAGAGGTAAATTCTTGTTTTCTATATTTTGGTAGTAAATTCTCAATGAAATAAGTTGAAGTTTCACTGGATTTCATTAACTTTTAAATATTACATATATGTGTTTTCTCAGATTAGTGAAAATTGTGACCTTAAATATGATATACACTGCCTCAGAATGCTTTCTTATATCAAAATTTATGTTTTTTTAAAAAGTAGATAATATTTAGGAGACGGAAAAACCTATACGTAATGTATTCATGATTTAAACTTTTTTTTTAAGTCACCATAGTTTCTTATTTTAAAAATACAACTTGGAAACATGAAAAGACTTGATGCATATAATAGTCAATGAACTAATACCAGAGACAGCTAAGTTTTTTCAGTAGTTATGCTGAATAAGCATTTTAGTAGGTGACTTATGCCAGCCAACATTTGAACAGCAGAACAAATACTTAATATAACAACAACTATGATCTCATTCATGATGATAAAAGGGAAGTTAGCATATTTTCTATGTAAAATTCATTTTTTAAAATAGCTGTTAAACCTATATTTAATCTTTATAGTAACAAATAATACAGTATGCTAAACTGTATTATCTGTAGTCACTTGTAACTTTTTATTTTTGAAATTTGATTTCTATTTTATAAGGTCTTGAAGATGCCTGCAAAATACAGAGCCTTTAAAGAAGACATGTAACAGTAAAACAGAACAGAAGTACACAGTTTTATACGAGTCAACGTAGCAAGTAAAGTTGAGATAATAAGTTTCGTTCTGAATTTTCTGGCTGCTAAAACAAACAGTTTTTGCTTTTCACAGTAGAAAACAAACTTATGTGCAGAGGCTAATTTCCTCTTGAACTACAGCATGAGGGTCTGTATATAGGAACATTTCTTCAGAATGGAAAAAAGATGCAGAATGCAGAGAGAGATTATAATGGTGCATCTTAACACCCAGCGAAGGCACAAGTTAATGTCATCTGGGAACACTGGTTTGGAGTCAGTCTGTATTTTCGGGGATAGAGCTAAAGAACCAGATGATCAATAGCTAAGCCAGCCTTAGCCTGTCACGTGTTATACGCCTTCATTGAATCATAGATGGGCATTAGATCTCATTCATTTATTAAAGTTGTCTATGCTTTTGGAAGAGGTGAGAATGGAACTAATACATCTTAGACATTATTGCCAGAATAATGCTAATTGCTGTATATATAGCCTTTAATCTTTGAGATCAGTGAGCAAACTTTACAAATTGCTTACTAAAAGGAAAGCCATAAAATTTAATAACAAGACATGAAATGTAGCCATCTTGTGGAAGTCATTACACAGTATTAACTGTCCACAGGGCACCCCACACAGTACCCCAGTGTTAAACACATCTAACACAAGATGCAAATCTGGAGGGCGTAAATATCTTCAATTCAGAAACAGTATTAAGTATATCTGTAGAATATTGTCACCATCACCTGCCATCCACAATTCACCATATCATCCCTCAAATGCCCACAGATCTATTGCAGGAAACCTACTAATCCCAACATCTAAAGCATGTAGGAATAAGGTGTGATATTCCTTTTGTGTGTGGGGAGAGTTTCAATCTAAAGGTTTAACAAAAAGCAGAGAATGTTCACATTTCACATCACAAAAGATTTCAAAGATGACTTTAACCCGACAGCGGTTATGTCAGTGTCTTTGCTATGTTTCATAGAATTGTTAGACTTTAAAAGAACCTCCTGAAAGTCTGCCTCTGAACATTTGTATGGTTCTGCCAATGTCTGATGAGAAGAATGCTTCTCTGTTTCAGGAGTGTGTTCACTGATGAGAGGGGACGGGAGAAGCCTGGTTGTGATTTCAGGAATAATTCTCAAAGGAGATTATGCTCTTATTGCAAAATGGGGTCTGCTATGTATTGTTCATGTCACTTTATTGCAAGTATTAAAAATAATATGCCTTGAACCACACTGATTAGACCCAGAAGGATCATTGAGTTTTTGGTGGTTTTAAAGATCCAAGAAAGACTATCTGACCCAAGTGTATTAATGAGAAGACTGAAGCCCACAGAAGTGAAGTCAGCCTCAGGGTCCCAAGAACCCCAGTACTCTTTTCTTTTTTTGCTGCCTCTTGCTTTTGTCAGCTGTAGGTTTTAAAAGTCAAGCACTTCTAAACAGCAGCCCAGATGTTCCATGTAAGCTTGTCAGTCATTCTGAATTGAAATGTAATTCTATAATTTTTTCAATGCATATGTTTCCCATTTAAATGTATGTAACACTGTTCTACAGTTTTGCTGCCATGATTCCTTGGCACCTGTGAATTCTTACTGAGCAATGTTTGTTAACAGTATACAGGCTTGATACTAGGCAGGAAGAGCTCCTGTGTTCTTGCTTTTCCTATCTTTTTTAAATCTAAAGGAGACATGTGTATTCTAGAAATTAAACATTTGTGTGCCATATCTCTTGAGTTTTGGAGAACTATTGGAGCTCGAGCTACTATAAATGACAAGATTATCTTGGATATCTTTTTTAGCTTTCTCCAAAATCACTTATGTTTTGTATACCTCTGCTAATAATTCAAAACTCTGAATTTGCTTTACTGTATTAACTTTTTTAAAATGTATTTTTGCAATTGGTTTAATTACTACAAAAGCCTAAAAAGCTAATGACTAGGTGCATGTTTAGTATGCACTGTCTAGTGTAAATTTTTTTAAAGCAGTAGATTTTTATTAGAGATTAACTTCCAGGCCATATGAGAATATGCTTAATCCTAGATTTGGCATTTTACAGAAAAGAATTTTGACTCTTGAACTAGAATTAAAAACTTGTTCTGATTTCCTTGCTTGCCTCAATTTCTAAAGTCTAGAAGTGGCAAAGAATTTAGATCACTTATGCCCACAGAATCTGTATTTCCTTCCAGGGCAAAGTTGGCATTTCCTATCTACTAGCTTCCAAAATAAAGTAATCCTAGTTATGATAATAAGAGCAACCTTATTTTATTACACTTAGAACCATTTTATGTTTTCAAATTAATCTTTGAGTGAAGATGAACTAAAAAAAAAAAAAAATGCGTTTTGTCCCGGGTTGCCTGCAGGTTCCAGTCTGCTGCATCCGGTCACTGAAGAGGCAGTGAGGACTGGCACGGGGTGGGCTGGAAAGCCAAGCTGTCCTTTCAGGGTGCACAGTGCCCCAGCCATAGCACAGCTTAGAAACATGGATGAGTAGACCTCAAGATAGGTGAACACGGAGTAGGGAGCAAAAGAAGGCAGAAACTCCTCTGAGTTTCACAAGCATCAGGCACAGATCAGGGCACAAAGGAAGAAGAAAGAAGGTAGTTACCACTGGTCTGTCTCTGTAAATAGTTACAGAGCAATTTTACTTTGTGTTATTTAGGATTGAGAAACAAGTGTTATTTAAAAGTCCTCTTACGGCCGGGCGCGGTGGCTCAAGCCTGTAATCCCAGCACTTTGGGAGGCCGAGACGGGCGGATCACGAGGTCAGGAGATCGAGACCATCCTGGCTAACACGGTGAAACTCCGTCTCTACTAAAAAAATACGAAAAACTAGCCGGGCGCGGTGGCGGGCGCCTGTAGTCCCAACTACTCGGGAGGCTGAGGCAGGAGAATGGCGTGAACCCGGGAGGCGGAGCTTGCAGTGAGCTGAGATCCGGCCACTGCACTCCAGCCTGGGCGGCAGAGCGAGACTCCGTCTCAAAAAAAAAAATAAATAAAATAAAATAAAATAAAATAAAAGTCCTCTTACCCTCCAACCTTTGTCATACTCCACAATATCTGATGCCATTTAGGCCTCTGAGCCAGTACATATTTTATTGAAACTTTTTTTCTTTTGAGGCAGAGTCTTGCTTTGTAACCCAGGCTGGAGTGCAGTGGCACTATCTCAGCTCACTACAACCTCAACCTCTAGGGCTCAGGAGATCTTCCTGCCTTAGGCTGCCTAGTAGCTGAGACTACAGGCACCCACCACCACAGGCTAACTTTTTAAAATTATTTTTGTAGAGACAGGGTTTGGCCGTGTTGCCAGGCTGGTCTGGAACTCCTGAGCTCAAGCAGTCTGCCCGCCTAGGCCTCCCAAAATGCTGGGATTACAGGAGTGAGCCACTGCTCCTGACCCAGCTGATTTTTTTGTTTTTTTGTTTTTTATTTTAAGAAATGGAGTCTCACTACGTTACCCAGGCTGGTTTCAAACTCCTGGGCTCAAGCAATCCTGCCTTGGCCTCCCAAAGAGCTGGGATTACAAGCATGTTGAAACATTTTGAGTAGTTGTTGATTGCTAAAGGAATTTTCATCAGAAATCTAGGTATTCAGCCATGCTTTCCAAATCTTGTTTTATTCTTCCACTGATAATATTGGTCCTATTAAGTGGTGGTGTAGTGAAGTATTCACAAATTTCAATCCAAAAAAATTATGTGAATAGTCAGGGAGTTCTTTCTGTACCCTTGAGTTATTTTATCACTGTCATGTGTACACCTCATAGGAAAGTTCCGCTCTGAGAATGAGCACAAGGAACAGATAGGAAATGTGCAGCGGGTGCCGATGTGTAGTCCTGCAGCCTGCAAGTCCATGTGTGTAGGAAGAGGCAGTCACTTCCTCAGTCATTAGCTTTTCATCTGAAACAACAAAACTAGTGGTAGGAAGCTTCTGAGATGGTTCCCAGTGAAACCTGCCTGCTGGTGTGCACTCTTGTGTAACCTCCTGTCCTTGGGTGTGAGCTGGACTTCGTGGCTTGCTTCTGAGGAGTAGAACAGAAGCAGGAAGGGAGAGAGCGCTCGTGAGGTTTGGTGGCAGAAAGTCTCTGGCTTCTGTCTCCTTGCCCTCTCTTACTTTTGTGCTTTCCTGCTCGGAAGGTGAGGTGTTCTTTGGAAAGACCCATGTGACGAGAAGCAGAACTTTCCAGCCAACAGCTAACATGGAACTGAGGCCCTCATTCCAATAGCCTCCAACTGAATCCTGCCAACGAGACATGAGTTTGGAAGGGGATCCACCCCAGTGGAACTCTTGAGATGACTGCAGCCAACACCTTGATTGCAGCCTTGTGAGAGACAAACCAAGATGTTTGTTTAAGT